GGATTACGTTTGTTGAGTCGTTGGTGTCTACCGTTCTCTTCTTTTTCTTTCTCTTATGCAGGACGAGATGCGATGGGCAAAAATGATGCTGTATAACATTGCCGGCTCAGGCAAGTTTTCATCTGACAGAACCATTCGGGATTATGCTGCGAACATCTGGAACGTAGAACCGACGGAAGAAAAGATGCCGGCGCCGTTTGAGACGCCAGCGCCGACGAATCCTTCCAGCTAGAGGAGGCTGCTTCCAGGCAATTTCCATGACCGTCCTCGCCCCCTCCCCCCGGCCCCACCCCCTCTATACTTGCACCTTTAAGCGCGCCTCGTGTGGTGCAATGGAATTCGAAGAAAATCAATTGTTCTTTCCCAGCTTCTCATCGGCGCTAGTCCTAAACTGATGTATATTTTATGAAGCACTCAACCCTCCGCCCTGCCTCAATGAATCTGAGATTCCCCCCTCCCCTTCTTGGCAAGAATCCATGATACGTCGCACTGCAGTCGCGTCACCCAGTGCTTAGTCAAACTGATCTACTGGACACTCTTTCTCTTCCCTTTCCTCTCTTTTCTCTCTCCCACTTCTGTGTTTCATTTTGTGCTTTTAGTCATTTTCAGTCTTTTTTGACTTTCGAAGTCTCATAATCATCATTATTAGTTACTTTCCTTCGAAGTTTTGTTATGTATTGCCTTTGGCATTTTTGGCCTGTTCTCTGTCCTTCGATTGCCTACCTTTCACCATCATCATCATGACCTGTTAGCTGTTAGGGTAGTTGTCAAGATGTGGGTAGCCTTAGCCGTTGGAAATTATCTCAACACACTGATTAAACAATTCTTGCATTTTTGACTTTGTGTTGGTTCTTCTTCAGAAAGCGGTTTTTGCGATTTGGCGCACGGGTTGTCTAGGTTTTATTGTTCTCGCAACTCTTCCCCAGGCTGAGAGGTGCATTTTTCACAATGTCCATCATGCTTTCGCTTCAGCCACCTTCATGTGGCGTGCTAACTGGTTTCCAATTCTATGCGGGCGGTATGTTGTGGAGTACCTTAGTCAGCTGCTCTGCTGAGCATCTTAAGACCAAGCATGTGCGCTAGCTCCGCTTTGG